TAACAGTAGTCATAGGAACACACCTGGCTTATGGAATGGGCGGGCTGGGTTTGGGTTTGGGAACACACCGCTTCCCTGTTGGGATTCCATAAGAGGCCTGCCTATTGGAATTCCGGATTCTTGAGGGTCTCTTAAGATTCACTCGAACTCCTGAGGATTCTTGAGGGTTTCTCAGGATTCCCCCGGATTCTGGAGGATTCATGAAAATCTCAAGATTTTCCCGAAGTCCTGAAGGTCTCTCAAGATCCCCATGAATTCCGGCAGATTTTTGAGGGACTGATAATCACGTAAGATCTCTGAAGATCTCGTATGACCTTGTAAGATCTCGTAACTGAAGATCTCGTAACATCTGTGAAGATCTCGTAAAATCTCTGAAGATCTCGTAAGATGCCTGAAGTGGTTGGGATTGGGACCACTTCTGGCTGTCCGAATGGTTGGATTTGGGACAAGTCGGTTGTGATCCTTTCCATGTCCTGCGCGCCCCCCCCAAAGTGGGCGCGCCGCTCGTCGGCGCGCGGCGCTCCTGCTTCCCGGACGAGAGGTTGACGGACAGCGCTGTGGTGAGCAGGGAGAAGGCGTGGACTACATGGAAGGCAGGAAGGGCTACCATTGCATCGCCTCCCGCCGCCCATTGCCCCCCGACAGGCTGTCGTTGCCAGCCCGCCAGCAGATCTCGCGGCGGCCCTGGCAGCTGCCACGGGCATAGTAGTCCCAGCGGGACGACAGCCATATCAACATGCACGAGAACATCGGCAAGGCAATAACGAAAGGTTCCTGCTCGTCTTCGTCTTCCTCCCCCTCCTTATCCCCTTCGCCCCCCCCTCTCTCTCGCACTGCATGCCCTGGATGACCACATGGTCCGTGGCGTCAATGGCGGCCGCAAGCCTCCTTCTCCTCCTTCTCCATCTGACCGTGGGCCTCCATCTTCCTCTCCTCCCCTTGAGGCTGGAAATGGCGCTAGGAAAAATGAGGCGACTTCCCGCCTCAAGGTCGAGGCCACTCCGTCCTCACACCGCGGGAGACGCCCGACGCTGCTCAGTCCGAGCGTCGTCTTTACCGGCCTTGAAACGACTACAACGACGACGACGGCGGCGCGAAGTCGACGATTTGACACAACATCTAATGTTTCACACCCGATGCGTGGCATACTGCGGAAAGATCGCGGGCGGTAAAACGGGATCTGGAATGTGCCCAGAACTTCAAGGAGGATAAAAAAGAACCGCGCGCTTGTCTGCCACATCGGGGAGGATCTCCTTACCCATCGCTGCTAGATTTTACGCTGGGCAATCGAGGATCTATGTTTCTTTAGCGTTCATGACTATGTGTCGGTGGCCTCCAAGAGCCTCCGCGGAGGCCTCCTGGGCTTCGAGGGACCCGCTGGGGATGTCTGGGGGTCAGGACCTTGGGCGGCACTGAAACTTGCGATAGTGGGCCATCCGCCTTGGTCTCGTCAGATCAGGGGACGACGCCAAGAATCAAGAACGACAGAGAAAAGAAGCGCACGGGGGGCTCTGGGCCTCACTCCTCGTACCTCATCATCTCTCCCTTCGCTGCCTCCTCTTCCTGCTCCCTCCTCTTCGTCCCAGCCCTGCTGCTGCTGCGGGCGCTGAAGTCTTCCGATCCCCCTTCTCGCATGGAGTGAGCATCTCTTTGTCCATCGCCCCTGCCTGTGGAGCACCAGCGGCCTCCTGGCACCGCGTCACGACGCAAGGTGGAGATCTGTCGTTCGTCGCCGTCGCTGTCACCGTCGCTGTCGCCGTCGTCGCCGTCGTCGTCGCCGTCGTCGTCGTCGTCGTCGTCGTCGTCGTCGTCGTCGTCGTCGTTATGGTGGTGTTCGTCGTCGTCGTCTTCCTTTCCCCTCCGCCACCTCCCCACGTCCTCGTCCTCCCCTCCTCCTCCTGCTGTGCTGTTTTTCCTCCTCGTTCTCCTGCCTTCACCTGCTCCACCTCCTTAACCTCTTCCTTCTCCTCTTCATAGTCGTCCTCCTTCTAAACCTCCTCCTCCTCCTCCTCCTTCTCCTCCACGCCTTCTTGGACTTTACACTCTGTGCATCGCCACTTGGACCCAAGCCGCTCATTCCGCCGGGCGGCACGGGCAAACTCGCTGCGGGAGTTGCTGCATGGTGCGGCGGCAGCTCGGCTGGCTGCCGATAAATCGGTGAGGAAGCTCAAGCACGAGATCGAGGTTCGGCGGAGCGGGCGACGATCTATCGCCTGCTCATGAAGAGTTCTCAAGCGACCACTGTATTGATGTAAAGCCTGCACGACGGTCTCGCTGCTCAACGGCTTGGTCGTGACGAGCTGTATGGCGACGATCCTGCTGCTGATAGGCATGCTCGCGGAGAGCTAGCCAGCGTGGTTCTTGCTGCTGGGTGGCCTGCTCGTGACGAGCCTGATAACGACGGTCTCGCTACTCAACGGTCTGCTCGCGATGGGCTCGACGGTGGCGATCTTGCTGCTGATAAGCCTGCTCGTGGAGAGCCCGAAGGTGACGACTTTGCTGCTTATAGGCCTGCTCGTGTACAGCTCGACGGTGGCGTTCACGCTGCCGCACGGCCTGCCGGCGGAAAGCTTGACGGCGACGACCTGCACGCGAAGAGCGCGGCGACGATCCCCTGGCCTGGTGCCCCAGGCGGAGTGCGCCTCGACATGCCCGCGGCGGAGTGCGCGTTGGCTACGTACGGCGTGCCCGTCCTCACGGGGACGGTCGGGGGGTCCAGAGCTGATCCTGTTGAGCACGCCCCGCCTCCGCCGACAGTAGCACCGATGCTTCGAACGGACGGTGGTCCGATAGCAAGTTGTCCAACATATCCTGAATCGTCAACTCTTTCTCCTCCTCCTCGACCTCCCCTTCTCCTTCCACTTCCCCTCCCCTCCTCCACCCCTTTTCCTGATACATTTCTCCACCTTGTCGCGCCCCCAGACGTCTGCGTAGGCTGGGCCAGCGGTGCCGCCTGAGACTTCATCACGCATTAGGATCCTGAAGCTCAACCTGAGCAAACATTTCGCGGATGGAGGGAGGGACGTTTTCAAACTGGAGCCCTCGCCTAAGCGCCGCGCGCAGTCGTTGTACAAGTTTGCAACAGTCTCAAGCATGGAGGACGGGCTGTTTTCAAAATGGATCTCTTGCTTTAGCACTGCGCGCATTCGTTGTAAAGTTGGCATCAGCACGGCTTAGGGTTGTCAGCGCGCAACAGTCACGTGTATTCGCGATGCTGAAGTCTCAGGGATGATATGCTGGCACGATTCAGGATTGTCAGGACGCATCGGTAACGTTGATTCGCGGCGTGCAAGTCCCAGGAGAAGTGTCCTGGAAATATCTAAGGCTCTCAATTCATTTCGGGGAATTGACGGGTGCCCACATCCGATCAAACTTGTAATGCACCAGTTGTCTGCCAACACAAACTTGTCATGTAATCCAGTTGTTTCTTTGTCTTGAGCTGGTCCTGGCGAGGCATCCGTGTTCCCTGTCTGCAACTTGGGGGAGTGAAATGTTTCCTTTTGTTCCCCGCGTCCACAGTGGGGTTCTTATTTTCTATGGACACCCCGCGCGGGAACGTCGCTCATGTTCTTAATCCGAACGGGTCATCGGAACCCTATAACTGTCGTCACTTTTGGGCCCCTGAGGTCTGGACATGGAGGAGGTATCAGGCGGGAGCCTCGTCTGCGAGTGCATTGCGAGGAATTCTCAAGCGGAAACCCCTCCCAATGGGGCCCGCCGCTCATGTTTTTAACCCGAACGGGTCATCGGAACCCTGTAACTGTCGTCGCTTTTGGGCCCCTGGGGTCTGGATGTGGAGGGAGTATCAGGCGGGAGCTTCGTCTGTGAGTGAATTGCAAGGAAATCTTAAGCGGGAACCCCCACCCTATGGGGCCCGCCGCTCATGTTGTCAATCCGAGCGGGTCATCGGAACCTTGAAACTGTCGTCACTTTTGGGCCCCTGATGCCCGGACATGGAGGAAGTATCAGGCGGGAGCCTCGTCTGTGAGTGAATTGCGAGGAGGTCTCAGGCGGGAGCCCTCTCCCTGTGGGGCCCGCCGTTCACGTTTTTAACCCGAGCGGGTCATCGGGATCCTGCAACTGTCGTCACTTTTGGGCCCCTGAAGCCTGGACGTGGAGGAAATGCCAGGCGGGTGGCGGCCGCGCTGTGCATCGCGTTGGACCTTCGCGCATGCCACGGAAGCAGTGACACGCGCGACCTGCAAGAGTCCACATACAAGCGGTTGCACCACCACTTCGGGCGCGTTCCCATCGTGTTGCACCTCGGCGATATCCGGCAGCTGAAGCCCACAGGCAGCATCGGCCTCCTGACGGACGTGAACGAGCTCCTGGACGACGGGTCCTACAACTACGCGGAGCTGCCGACGGTGCAGATTCAGCACGCCATCAAGGTCTTCTCCTAGATCCCCTGCGTCTTCGAACTGAAAGGCACGAAGTGCTTCGAACCTGGGGACCTTCTGATCACGTCTAGGGCTGCACGGGCGAGGGCAAGCTCTTCCCGACAGAGGTCTGGGCCGCCTGGAAAACGACGTTGGCCTCGGACAGCCACGGCGTCCTGGACCCTCGGCACCAGCGCAAAAACTTTCGGCTCGACTACGGCATGGGCATCTACTGGGCGACGATGGCGATGTGGATCAACACGCGCGCTCGTCGCGACGCGCAGCGTCTGGGCGTGGTGCCCTTCGTTTTCTTGCAGGCCGGCGATCCCGACGCGGGCCGGCGCCTCCTGAGCGTTCCGAACATGTACAAGACGGGGGTCGTCCGCAGCGTCTTAGCGGCCCGCGTCGGCATGGAGGTGTGATTCACGGCAGTGCAGGAAGAGCTGCAAAAAGAAATTGGGGCTCGCGCAGGAGCACCAGGCCACCGTCGTATCCCGAGGACGAGCAGCGGTACGAGGAGTGCTCGCTGGGCCAGCTGTTCCGCCCTCGCTACCTACCGCAGGGAATCTGGCTGCAGGTGCACGGCTTCAAAGAGTCTCCGATCTACCAGACGGTCGCCGGGGTGCTGCTACAGGGCGCCGAAGGCGCCGACGACGACGGCGAGGCCGAAGCGCGGGCGCGGAGTTTGCTCATGTTCAGGCCCAGCGATCAAGAGTTCACGTGGCAGAGCTCGGGGCCGCGCGCAGTGCGCCGCTCGGGGTTCACCGTGACGCACGCGTCGTACCTCACATCCACGCTGTCACAGGGCCAGACCCTGCGCAAGGGCGTCACCATCGACTGAGCGAAGGACGAGGAGGTTGGTCGCATGGGCATGTCGGACGAGCAGTGGTGGCTGCACCTCTACGTCATGTTCTCCCGCGCCACGCGCATGCGGAACATGCAGATCCTGCGGCCGCCGCCGCGAAAGTTCCTGGAGGGAGGGCCGCCGGCATCCTTGCGGAAGGCGCTCCTGGAATTCGACGTCAGAGCGGAGAACTCCAGGGCAGAGGCGGAGCAGCTCGCGGCAAAGCTGGGCTCCGTGATGCCCCCTGCCTGAGCGTGGCGGCGCCCCGCTCGGAACCCGCTGCGACCTCAAGAACGACCGCTTCGACTGCGACGGGGCCAGCTGCCCCAGAAGAGGACTCAAGTCCTCGGCCGGCACCAGGGAAGACGACGACACGAGGGACGTCCTAGCACAGAACCGCTCCCAGGCGTACCTACCGGGCAAGAACTGGCTTGGTCTCGCGCGCCAGCGGCTCGCGAGGTTGTCTCGACGGCCTGGCCCGCGTGGCTGTCCCCGACGGCTGCGCGATTTCGCCCTCGGAGAACGCGCCCCTGCCAGGCGTGGCGGCGAGGGTGCCGACGAAAATCTACGAGCGCGCGCCCCTGCCAGGAGGAAGGAGAGGCGCAGGAGGAGAACGAGCGGGGCGTCGATGAGGAGGAAAAAGGAGGAAGAGGTGGAGGGCACGGCAAAGGCCGAAGAGAATGAGGAACGTGAGGGGGAAAGGGGGGATGTGGAGGAGGCGGAAGAGGGAGAGGATGAGAAATGCAACGACTAGGACGAGAAGGAACAGGAGGAGGAGAAGGAAGAGAAGAATGAGGAGGACGGAGAGGGCGGAGGGAAACCTCCGCCAAACGAAAAAGAAAAACGCGGGGGGCTAGCTAAATCGATTATCATGCGGGGTCCTACCGTCGGAGTAATTGGATTCTTCGGACTGTTGTCTTTCAATGGGCCATTTCCTGCAAATCAGCCGGCCCCCTTGCGGGGCCATCAGTCTGTGAGGCTTAGGATTGCTGGCTGCTGCCTGCACCAGTTCCAAATTCCAGTTTCCAATGTTACAGTATTGTTGTCTGGTTCTTACTGTTAATTGTTACTGTCCGCGCGAGGGGAGGGTGCCGAAAAGGACCCTGGCTGGCATCCCCGAATCACATCCTAAGAATTTCTGGGGGGCCGTGGGACACGTTCCAATACATGAAATTTGCGCTCCCGACGCAATAATCCACTGTAGATTACATGGTTTTCGCGCCCCCGAAGCCAAGATCCCTCGTACATTACGCTGTGCTCGCGTCCCCGAAGCCACGATCCTTAGTAACATACATCATATTCACGCTCCTGAGGCCACGATCCCCCGTAAATTAAGCCACAATCGCGCCCCCGAGGCTACGATCCGTCAGCGAAGTTCGCGCCCCCGAGGCCACGATCTCTTGTAAATTACACCATGTTCGCGCCCACGAGGCCACTATCCCGCGTAAATTACTCCACGCTCGCGCCCCCGAAGCCACGATCCCTCGTAAATCGCTCCGCATTCGCGCCCCCGAGGCAACGATCTCCTGCAGGAGACCTCAAGAGGCGCCCAAGACGCGCCCAAGAGGATTCCAAGAAGCCCAACAGATACCCCACGAGGCCCCAAGAGGCCCCCAAGAAACGCCCAAAGCGCCTCCAAGAGGCCCCCGAGATGCTCCCCACGACACTCAAACACATATACAAGAGGCCTCAGACCCACAACCCAGGCACGGTGGCGGGATGGGCCGAAGGCCACTGGGATCCGCTGCCCCCTGTTGATTCATCACAGGGGTGCCCGGCATGCTGAATCCTTTCGGTTTTGGTTTTCTTAGAAAACTCACTGGGGCTTCGGCCCGTCCCGCCGGCCACCCGAAAAACTCTTCCAGACGTCGTTGCAAAGGTTTTTCCTGCTCCAGACGGCTCCAAGATGGCCTCCAAGATGGTCCAAGAGAGTCCAAGATGCCTCCAAGTTCGCACAAGAAACCTCTACGGACCAAGACGGCCCCCAAAGCCTCCAAGACGGCCCAAGAGGCCTTCAAGAGGCCTCCAAGAGGTCCTCCACGAGGGCCCGAAGAGGCCCAAATCAATATTTCAATATTTTTATTTTTTTGAGGATTCTGGCTTTTGCTATTTTCCAGCCGTCCGATGGCCAACGACGGCTCAAGAGGGCCGAAAGATCGGCCCAAGAGCGCCCAAGAGGCCTTCAAGATGGCCCTATGACGGCCCAAGAGGCCTCCAAGACGGTCCCAAGAGGGCCCCAAGACGGCCCAAGAGGCCTCCGAGACGCCCAAGATGGCCTCCAATACGAGCAAGATAACCTCCAAGATGCCTCCAAGACCGACAAAATGACCTCCAAGGCGGCCAAGATGCCCGCTAAGACGGCCAATATGTCCCAAGCTGGGCCCGAGAGGCTTCCCAGATGGCCCCAGAGGAATCCAAGAGGTTCTCCAAGAAGGCCCGAGGGAGCCAAAATCTTTGATTTTCCTTCAGTTTTTGAAGGATTTTTGCTTTTCCTACGTTTTGGTGTTCCGACCGCCCAAGACGGCCCAAGGAGTCCCACAAATCGTCTCAGAGGCCTCTGATGGCTCCAGAACGGTCCAAGAGGCCCCCAAGCCAGCCCCAAGAGGGTCCCAAGACGGTCCAAGAGGCCTCCAAGACGCCCAAGATGGCCTCCAAGATGCCTCAAGACGGCCAAGATGAGCTCCAAGACGGCCGAGATGGCCTCCAAGGCGGCAGAAATATCCCCAAGAGAGGCCCAAGAGGTCCCCAAGACGCCCAAGATTGTCTCCAAGACGGCCAAAATGGCCTCCAAGACGGCCAAGAATGCCTCCAAGACTGCGAAGATGGCCCCAAGATGCATCCAAGACGGCCCCAGATGGCCTAAATATGGCCTTAGGCTGCCCAAAAGGCCCGCCAGAGGCCTCCAAGACGGCCCAAGACCCCTCCAAGACGTCCTCCAGGAGGCCCGAAAACTCGGAAACCACCTGGTCCGATAGCTCGCCCGACTCCGTGTTCCCCTAAGGCTTTCGAAACCCACTTGGGGAACGCGTGGCCCGATAGCTTGGCCAAGCTCAAACCCAACTTTCGGCCACGCAGGCGCTTCCAAACAGGCAGGGGGGGAGGCGGTGATTCGCTGTGGGCGTCTTCGATAACGTCAACGTTTCAATTTGCGTTGATGGCTCCTTTCCGCCCCCGCATGCTGTTCCCAGATGCGCCAAGCCAGCGCCGAGACGCACCGACGCGACTCTGTTATATCCCACAATGATAGCGAGGGGGCTGGCGGCAGGGGGCGAAGCCCTTACGGATAACATAGAGTCTTGTAGGGACCTATGACGGGGGAACACAAAGGGATGGTGTCTTGCAACATCTTTGATGCGCCTTGGGTTTGCACTGGTCCTCTTTTTCCTCCTCCTCCTCCTCCTCCTCCTCCTCCTTGTCCTCCCCCTTCTTAGCCCCAAGGCTACCCCAGGACCCCTCCGAACGCGTGGAAAAACAGAAGAAGGCGGCCCAAACAAGCCGCCAACGCCCTCTCCGAGGTCCCCGAGGAGCCCTCCAAGATGCCACCAAGACTGGAAGAGGAGCGGGCACCGTCTCTGGAGCTCACAAGCGGCTCAACCCAAAGAAAAATGGATTCCCATGACTTCCCGGCTGCGCTTGAGCCAAAACGCGTACACATTATTGACCTCGTCTCCATTATCCTAAGCATCCTGCCTCTTCTTCATCTTCTTCTTTATTAGTATTATTATTATTATTGTTATTGCTATTATGATTATAATCGTTACTTTTATCATTTAAATCATTATTACTATTGTCATCATTTATTATTACTACTTTTATTACTACTATTATTATGATTTTTATTATCATTCTGATTATCATTATCATTATTATTATTATCATTTTCATCCGTATTCTTCTTCTTATTCTTATTCTTATTATTATTATTATTAATTTTCTTCTTCTTCTTATTCTTATCATTATTCTTATTATTCGTATTACCATCATTTTTATTACTATTATCTTTATTACTCTTCTTCTTATGCTTGTTATCATCGCAATCGTCCTCGTCCTCCTCCTCCTCCTCGTCGTTGCCCCTACTCGCCGGTCCCAGCACCAGCTCCGAGATAGGTCCCGACGTGCGGTATTTCGTCCCTGCCCTCTCTGAAGCTCTCAGGCAAGCACCCTCCAGCCCAAGTCGCGGAGGAAAGAGGCGACGACGACGAGGCGCATGCAAAGGAACCAGCAGGCGGCAACTTCTGTGCCCCGAGGCTCTCATGGAGCGCCACGAAGTGGCAGCCGAGCCAAGAAGGATGAGGATGAGGAGAACCAGGTGGAGAGGAGACTGATGGCTATGAGGAGGAGGGGGAGGAGGAGGAGGAGGAGGAGGAGGAGGAGGAGGAGGAGGAGGAGGAGGATAGGAGGAAGAAGAAGGAGGAAGAGGAGGAGGAGGAGGAGGAGGAGGAGGAGGAGGAGGAGGAGGAAGAGGACGAGGCTGATGCTTAGCCGTTCCCGTCAACAAGCAGGAAGGACGAGACAGCACACCTCTGCATCCCCGCCCCTCCCCTCCCCGTGGACTGCTTGGACTCTCACAAGCGAGATCGCTACCAAATGAAGGAGCCGTCAGGGCTTGAGCCAGGAGGCCGCCGCCGCCGGAGGCGCGCGCGCGGGGGCAGCTGCTCGGGCGAAGGAGAAGAGCCCTGGGCGAGGCCCGTGGTGGAGGGCCTCCTCCTCCTCCTCCTCCTCCTCCTCCTCCTCCTCCTCGTGCTCCTCGTGCTTCTCGTGCTCCTCGAACTCATCCTTCTCTTCCTGCTCCTCCTCCTCCTCCTCATCAGGTAGAGACCGAGAGAAAGAGAGAGAGAGAGAGAGAGAGAGGGAGAAAGAAATTGAGCGAGAGAGAGAGAGAGAGAGAAAGAGAGAGACAGAGACAGAGAAAGAGAGCAACGGGGGCGGAAAAGCGGATATGGCCGCGTCCATTGTGTAGCGTTGCCAACCTGCGGCAGTCACACACCCGTGTTGGCGGACATGTTGCGTGACCCCTCTCGCGAGCCCTCGGGGGCGTTCCCTTGGGAGCCTGACGGGGCTGATTTGACCCCGTGTTGGCCCCATGACATCGGGGCTATGTGACCCCGTGTGGCCGTGACCGCTGCTACTGTACAGAGCCCTTGTGACGCGAACGAAATGGACGGCGGCATACGAGAAAGGGGACAGGCCCAGAGCTCTCGACCCCCGCGAGTGCAGCAAATGGGGGCACGGGGACGGGGAGGGAAGGAGCGGCGGAGAGGCGGGGAAAGGAGTGGCTCAATATCCATACGCAGTCAGCCCAACTGGCGCTGGATGGCAAACCCCAGGTGGTGTTCGTGCCATGGCACCAAGCCATGCTAAGAGGAACCACGTCGTCCGTCATTCAATGATTTGTTGGTTGATTGATCCTGTCATTCGTCCTCCAAGGGGGAGGACCCCCCCCCGAGCTGGAGACCGAGGAACTTCCCGGGGTGCCCGTCGGGGAGGGCAGCTCTGCACTTTTGGGGCGCTGGGCGTGAGAGCAGAGGCCTCGTCGAGCCCGCAGCCCTTCTGGGGACGGGGGCCCCTCCCTGGGGAGGAGGCGGCGAAGGGGGAGGAAGGATGATCAGGAGGCGAGAGAGGAGGGAGTGAGGGAGGGACGGAGGAAGTAGGGAAAAAGCAGGAGGAGGAAGAGGAGGGTGGAGTGAAGAGGAGTTGGAGGAGGACGGAGATAGGAAGGCCTGTTGCGACACGCCAACCTCCGCTCCTGGATCCACTCGCGACACGACAAGAATGCGCAGCTCCACAGCCGCCGACTCACAGATGCACGATCGGCCTTCTGCCAGACGGGAGGGACTTCGCTTCGAGCGCCACTCTTCCACCCCTCCCTCTGCAAACCCCCGGGATTGTGGAGGCGACCTACCCGAGGAGGCGTAGAGAAGGGTTGCAGAAGGGATGTGCTGTGACCATCTGTGGCCGAGCCGACGCCAGCGGCTGTCATCGCCGCCGCCGCCGCCAACGCCGGGTCTCCCAGCATTGTGCTGGCGAGCCTCCGAGCCTCCGGAGCCTCTGGGTCTTTCGCAGTGGTGTCGCAAGAAAAGGCAGCAGCTCATCCCGTGGCGCATGGCGCGTGGCAGCCACGTGCTGATACCGCACGACGTGCGTATCCCGCGCGAGCGATTGCACGAGCTGCTGCGCACATTTTCGAACCCCCCTTTGCAAAGGACCCATCAGCCCGAATCCGAGTCTCCCCCCTCTGCCTCCCTCCTCCGCTCCCTCCTCCTCGCCTTTTCCGCGGCACCGCGGGCTGCCTGCGGAGCGATCGGCTCACAGACGGCGGCGGGCGCCGGCTGCCGCACGGCCTGCTCACCAGCGGCGGCAGGCAGCCATCTCGCCTGTCCCAGGTGAGCAGGATGGGGCTTCGGGGGCGGTGCATTTTTCTTCACGTCCCTTTGGGCGAAAGAGACGCGCAGCGATGCTGGCCGGGGAAAGAAGTACGTCCTCGTTTCCCCTTCTCCACCTCACGCTGCGGCGTAAAAACTGGCACGAGAGTGACGAGCTGTTGGACAGGTGGCCAGCTGTTACAAAACGTCAGATCGGTCAATTCTGCGCATCGCCTCAACGAAACCAGAGCGTTAAAGCCAGATTGCCGATACAACCACTTGATAGTCCAGCACTTTCCCGCAATCCAATGCCAGTGCTCTCGTCTGCAGCCCAGACAGGACCGCGGCTAGGCGGCGACTGCATTCGCACCGTCGCCAGCGTGCCTTAGAACTCTGGTTTCGAACGCCTTGGAGTCTGATCAGGGCAGGGCAACGTCTTCACTCTTTCTGGAACATTTCCAACACAGCTCCACGGATGGAAGGCGGGCCCTTTTCATAACAGCGTTCTCGCCCGAGACTTCCTCACAGCACATGACGGGAGAGCCTGCAGTCTCCAACACGTACTCGGATGCAGAGCGGGCCACTTTCAGAACCGAGCTGTCGCTTGAAACACCCTCGCAACATGTGTCCCTGAAGCACGCAACGTGCAATGATCGCACGGGCGGCGGGGGCGGCGGCTCCCCTTCAAAATCGGGTTCCATTTCGGAACTTCCTCACGTTCGATTGCCCGAGGACATTTCCCTGTGAACTCACGTCAGCCTGACGCCCAACGCGCGAAGAATTTGTGCCCACGGCAGCGCCTCCTGAACCGCCTTGACGGGTGGATCTCTGGTGGCAGTCTGGCCAGAAGTCGGGGCCCATAGCGGCCGCTTCGAGTTGGGAGGTCTCTCTCAGAGCAAGCGCCCCGACACTCCCCAAGAAGGCCCTGGAGGAGGGAAAGCGTGGAAGGGTAGAAAGGGAGGGAAGTGGGAATGGAGGGAAGGGGGGCAGAAACGAACAATGGAAGTGAAAACAGCAGGGAAGACAACGAAAAGCCTTCGACAAGAAAGCAAAAAACGCTAACAAAGGATTATCCACAACGACGGGCCTAAAGGCGCAACACAAGCTTGGAGCTAAAAACGCTAAAACACCGTCGCGTTTTTTTTACAGCGTCTTCAGCCTGTCCAGAGCCCAGTGTGCCAAACGGTAAAAAAAAAGAACGCCCAGGGCGTTTGTAAGAATAACCAGGGAGATGAGGCGGCGGGGTGGGGAGGAGGAGGGTCGGGGGGCCGGACAAGGGCACCAACAAAACTCCGAGCCTCCCGATCCACCGCAACACGCGGCGGCCTGGCACGAAAAGCTCAGAGCAGTCTTACGGATGGGGACTGCCCCGCTTTCTAGCTCGTGCTCGGGCCTCGAACCCCCACACGCGCCGTCCTCTGAACATCTCGACCAGCTCGATCTTCGCTGCCCCGCCACTCAACACGCAACACGCAGCGTACTGACACGGAGCTCAACACGTGAACTGAAGACGCAGGTCTGGCGCGATGCGTGCGGGCCAACACGTGCCCAGCCAACACGCAGCGTGTCAACGCAGACGTTTTGCACGCGGCACGTGTTGCGTTCCAACACGTGCGCATCAGGGTGGCCAAGAGCTGGATGGCTTGAGCGCGAGCATCCCTCAACATGGCGCGCTGCGTTCTGGCATGGCGCGCCGCCGAAGCCTGCCCCGAGCGCGCGGGATCGCGGCCCGCGCGACCTCCCGAGAGGGCGGGGCTGGCGCCGGGCGCGGCCGAGGCCCGCTCTGCAGGCCGCGCGGGCCGGCGGGCGGCGGCCGAGTGGCCGCTCGGACGCGGCGTCCGAGGACACGGGCAACCCGTGTGAGAAGGACGCACGGTAGGGACGCAGGGGCACCCAGGAGCCTCCCAACAGGACCCCAGGAGGCTCCCAAGAGGCCCCCAAACTACCCCCAAAGGCCCCCGAGGGCGCTCTGAAGAGACCCCAAGAAGCATCCCTGAGGACTCTGGCACACGTCAGCATCGTCGTCGTCGTCGTGGTCGTTCAGGGTCGGCGGCACTGGCCGTAAGGCCTCTCCAATAAGGACGCAAGATAAGGATGCTATGGTCTTGGGAGGCCTTCTCGACACTCTGCCGTCGGGGCGCGGCCAGCGAAAGCGGCCAAGGATGGGCCGAAGGGAGAGATGCAAGTGCAACCTTGGAAAACTGCTCATCCTTCCTATGCGGGTTGACTGTAGGGAGCCCACAAAAGGACGTATGCGCCCAACCACGCACATGAGCACGGCCCCCCAGTCGGCGAGACCAGCCTCGCGATAAGAACGGTCGCGCAAGGCGCGTTCTCGAAACCGACGCGGGTTCATGCACGCGCACGTCCTTCTTTCGCTCCTGAGAGGAGGAGGTGGCCGCCGCCGCTGCCGCCGCCGCCGCCGCCGCCGCCGTCGTCGTCGTCGTCGTCGTCGTCGTCGTCGTCGCCGTCGTCGTCGTGGTCGTCGTCGTCGTCGTCGTCGTGGTGGTCGGCCGAGCGGCGGCGCCTGGCTCCACTCCGCTCGACTGATGACGCCGTCCCCGTTCGCGTCGAGCTGGTCGAAGAGGTCCCCTCGCGGGGGCGGCGCCTCGCGCGGGGAGGCGGATGGGAGCCGAGGAGGAGGGCAGAGGCGGCAGGAGGCAGGGGGAGGCCGAGGGAGGCCGAGGAAAGCGAGCGGGGGGAGGGCCTGGCGTATTCGTCCTGCTCGCCATCGCGCGGACATCGATTCCCATCGCACTCTTTTTGGCTCGTTTTGTGTGTTTTTTTGTGGCTTCTCCCGAGGATCCAAGATGCTCCACGGCTGTCCAGATTGTCTGGCGCTGGCCTTGCCGACAAGAAAAGCGCACGTCCGAGCGATGCCATGCCTGATCCCGAGAAGAGCAACATGTTTGAGGCCAGAGGTATCCGCCCTGGTCCCGAGTGGAACCATAGATTTGTGGGGGGGGAGGGGGCGAGGGAGGGGAAGAGACGGCATGAGGCAGGGGCTCATCCATGCGTGGCCGAGGGCGAGCGGTGACGGCGGCGCCTGCGGACCGAGGCGGGGCCCGCCTGTTGGGAGAAGAGGCTCGGGCACATCCGCTGCGCAGAGTGCCAGCCCAAGCCCGGCAGGCCCAGGAGCCCCGCGGCGGCAGGAAGTAGTGGGCAAATGCCGCACTTGAATGTCAACGTCGCGCTCACCGCAATCCACAACTCCGCTTCTCGGCGGCGCCGTGCTGCGAGGCAAGCGCGGGGTCACCAGTTCCGACCGCCCTGCGCGGAACGGATCAGCCCACACATGGCAGCTCAGACGAGGGGGCATGCCTCCGAACAGGTGAAGAAACACGCCACCGCGGGCAACTGCATGTGCTGGCGGAGACGGCAACCATTACTAAGTTCAATGGAACAAATCTGATTCCACACAATCCCTGGACAACCCCCCAGACAACCCGGACAACCCCTTAAAATTGCATTACATAAGCGTCGCAGCATGTGATTGTGGCTGGCGCCCGAGCGGCAGCACAATATCCACTTAGGAATGTGGCCGGCGCTGATCAGACCACCTTACTTCAGGGCATCTCCGAACCCAGAGTTGCGAGGACGTCTCTGGCGAAACTGGCCAGGCCACCTCCGATGTTGGCGGTGTCTCTGAGCGCTGACCCCTTGGCCAGAACTAGCTTCTACCGCAACATGACCCCAGTCAGCACAGCTGTTTGGGGAAGCGCGGCAAGGGATGGCGTGCGAACGGGCGCCGAAGCAAGGGAAAAGGGGAAAGAGAGGCGACATTTCCAACTGGGCTTCCCTGGTTGTGCCATGCTTTTGATGGTATGTCTGAGAATGATATGCGCGCGTGCTGACAAAACAACGCGGCCCGGACAACCAGTTGGACAACCCCACAAGAATCCGGTCCCAGCCCCTGGACAACCCCCCTTGGACACGCCTCCCCCGGGTTTTTTCCATAAGATATAGTGAGTACCCTTTGGCTGCCAGCCTGTATACGCAGAGGAAGAAGAGACAATCGAACCTAGGCCAGAAGAACATCCTTCAAGAACATGATACTCTCCGCCGGCCAAAAAAACATAACATCCAAGGGTACCCTCCCCAGGGTGCACAAGAACGTCCAACCAACACGAAGAACATGAGGGTACCCTCCCCTAACCGACCTCGATCCCATACCTCGGTCCGACTGTACATTTTGGCTGCCAGCTTGTATACGCAAAGAAGGAAGGCACCATCAATTCATCAAAGGAACATCGTCCGATCACTGCGGGAGCGGCCATCAAGGAAGATTATTAAGACCTGTGCGACAAAGTCGTGGCTCAGCCTTCCATTCGCAATGGCTGGTGACGAGTCCCAGGGCTTGGGATTTAGGAAAACACCGTGAAATGTGGAGCGAATTGGAACAAACCAGCCTAGCAGCCCATCAATAGGACGATAATGATATCATGATGCGTATGGCTCAGGATACGTTCCAGGAATTCCGGCGTATCTAACGGCTCTCGTTTCTGGAGCCCATGCGGAATAAACAAGTATAGGAATCCCTTGAAACTCAGTTTCTGGTTGGAACACGTCATTCTAATGACTTCTTGCTCCTCCGAGCCCAAGAAGAGCAGCGCCACTCAAGATGCGGTGGTCTCTCAAGCGCAATTTACCGGTTCGCAGAAATTAGTGTATCAAGGTGATGCTGATGCCCGTGGCACAGCCGTAGAGTCCACTCTATCGTCCACTCGACTTGCACGCAGAAATCATCCACGAATAACGTCACGAATACGCGTCCCATTGTATACGCTCTTGGATATCGGATCGCTGGATGCCGCAAGCGACCGATAATCGAATCCACATGCCGCGATTATCATTTTTTGTTTGCCTATCTGACTCGTGGCTTCCCTTGCGACATGCCCACTGTGAAATAACAGAACTGGCGTTTCGTGGTTAACACACGACATGAGTACGTAGGAGTTGTAGTAGTATGACGTCCGTACCTCATAGGGTTGCGGCAGGGGAGTGGATCAGACTCTGCAGAAAATTATGCCGCCAACTCGTGGACAAAATATGTGCAACTTCTGTTGTTGTGCAACGCAATCGTACTTCTCCCGGCTCTTTCAAATTGTTCAAATTTTGGTCTGTGCGGGGTCACGAGTGCGTCCTCTGCCAAAGAAGCCGGGCTGCGGCAAACACTAATTGAACCCGCAGCGTGCAAAGGAGGGCGAAGTGAGGAAACAACGGGGGCGGTGGGCGGAGGCAGGCCAACATAGGAGGCGAGGCTGGCGAGCAATCCGCACTCAGAGCAAGTCATCGGAGAACATCCATCGAATCCTGAACTGCAGGTCAGTGGGCGATAAGGCACCGCCCACCAGGCGGGCCCGACGTCGGGCCTGGCAGAGGGGCGGGGAATATGCGCTCCGACGATTCCAGGGGGTGGCAGTGCGGTCGAAATGGCGGCCAAAAAGACAGCCAAGAGAGGGGCCAGTGGTCAGCGGGATCGCTCTGTGGGGAAGTCCCCCGAGCGCCTCGCCAGGCGGCTCCTCCCCCCCGGCATCCCGAACAACAGGCCGCCCCGCAGGGCTGGCCTGCTGCGCTGCTGGCTTGAGCAGCGCGGCGGCCGCGTGGCTCCTTCGTCGGTCGGGGGCGGCCCGAGGACGGCCAGCGCGAGCACGACCGATCCGACCACAAACTGTCTGGCGCGAGGCCGGCGCAAAGAACCAGGCCGACACCATCCGCTAACAAATGGATTCTTTACCGTTCCGTTCAGTGGGACGGCAGGGGCACAGATCTGCCCACCAGCTGGGTCGAGGCGGCACCTTCAAGGCGGTGTCAAGAGCGCCACGCCCAGCCTTCTGTAGGCTGGCCAAGCATAATCCGAGAGCAAGCCCAAGAGATAATTTGCAACGCATATATATGTATATATATATATATATCTATATATATATATATATATATATATATCGCTGACCTGCCCCAACCCTGGTGGTGGCGATGGGGATCAGAACGGGGGCCTAGCATGCTGCCTACCGTGACAGCGCCCCTTCATGACTTGCGAGGAAGTGGTGCCGAATGTGGTTCTTCGGCATTCGCCAACTTCCAGCTCGAGCTACCTACGGGCAAGAGCTTTTGCTCAGCGTGTCGCGGCGGCGGCGGCCCCTGCGACACGCTAGATTCTGCAAGCGGATAACATGTCGCTTCGCTCCGTGGGGCGGGAGGCTCGGGAAGGCTTGGGATGTTGACGCGAGCGCGCTGAGCACGTCGCGCCAAAGCGTGATGGGCCAGAAGCGGCGGAACGATACGCGAAACCAAAATCGAACACTTTCCCAACCGGCTGTTTCGGAGCGTGGCGAGTGCCATCCGTGAGCCACCGCATGCTCACCGCACCATTCAACTCCCTGATGGTGTCCTCACAACCGCCAGTAAACACTTGGCCACTTCGCAACAACGTGTCGGCGTCTTGGGGCTGCTAAATACCACGTGGTGTTCATCCGTGCCACGGCCGCCCAACAGCTCGGTCAACTAGCTCCGCGCCTCGCTCCCCGCGAGAAGCGCGATTACCGTCGCGCCCTCGCGCCGCCGCATTGGAGAAGGGCAGCCGCTCTGGCTCAGACCGCGACGCGAGAAGCGCGATTATCTTCGCGCTCCGCTTGTGACCTACAACAGCTGCTTCATAGCGAACTCACAGCACTTGCGACCCTCAGCTGCCAACGGGTACCTCATGGCCACTTCTCAGCCGCCGTGAGGCTGGAACACGCGCCACAGCTCGAGTGGCGGTTGCCTGGCCCGCCTGGGTGGGGCTGGCCAGTGGGGCAGATCGTCTGCACAACTGTCGGGCACGCGCTGGCATCGATTACAGATCTGTGGATCTGGCACGTGTGCGCGGGGGGAAAGCAACTCCGCAAAACATGAAGCCAATGCCGCCGCATGTGGCGACGGTGCGCGTCGATTCTTTGTGGAAGCGGGACCCGTCGCTCATCCACGCACCTTCATTCTTCTTTGCATTTCCTCTACACGGGCACGAGGGTGAAGAACAATCCCAATTCCCAACCCCCTGACGTCATGTCTTTTTCATGACGTCGACCCTCAGAAATCTCGACCCATGCTCCGGGACCGGCTTTCTGATCCTGCACCGCTTTTTTGACAGCTCCGATGCCTGGTATAAGGGCCCCAGAGGCTGAACATTGCGAAAAGCCTGCCGTCGCGATTTTTTGATGACTCGAGGGGGCCTCGGCTTCGCTGCCCCGATACGCAACACGCAGCACGCAGCGTGTTCACGTGGAGCTCGCAAGTAGACTGAGAGCTTCGGCCTGGCGCGATGCGTTCGCCAAAACGCGGGGCCAGCACGTGCCGAGCCAACACGCAGCGTGTTAACACGGACGCTTTGAACACGGCACGTGTTGCATTTCAAGCGGGCGCATCAGGGCAGCTAAGCTCGAGGGGGTCTGGGATTTGGAAGGGACCCTCCACCTTGGAACGTTCTCTCCGCTTGGGGATTACCTCCCTATGGCGCCTCGGGCCTTCGGCAAAAAGGCCTGTGCCCTTTCGACCCACGCCACTGTGTGGCAATGCCCCAGCTCCGTTGCAGGGGGCGCCCGTTCGAGGAGGAGGAGGAGGAGGAGGAGGAGGAGGAGGAGGAGGAGGAGGAGGAGGAGGAGGAGGAGGAGGAGGAGGAGGAGGAGGAGGAGGAGGACCCCCCCCCTCCTCTGGCGCAGAGGGCGGGGGCCTCCGCCCAAGCGCTCCTCGGCTGCCCTCCGGGCACCGTCTGCGACAGCGCCCCGCGCGCGACGGGCTCGCGGAGGGCGGAGCCGGGGGGGCTCTGCTCCCCCAGGAAGGACGGCGACGCGGCTTGCTGGGCCGCGGGCGGACCGGCGGCCGCGGCGGCCTGAGGACGAGGCCAAGACGAAGATGCGCGCGGGCGGGGATGTGACTCGGGAATCTCTGAGATCCGGCGGCTCTGGAGAATGCATCGCGGCCTTCTCAGAGCGTTCCGGAACGGATTCATCCCCGCCCGAGGCCTCCAACGCTGGGCGGGATGGCCCCAGGTCCAGGAGCTGCTCCTGCAGGAAGGAGGGCGACATCGCCTGCAGCGCTGCGGGCTCGAACGGCGTGGCGGCCTGGGACGCTCCGCGGGGGGCGGGGAAAGGGTTGGGGGTGGGCATCGCCCCCCTGGGCCGACGGGCGGCACCGGTTTCCGAAGTTCAGAGGCCGCCGTTGTGGACGAGGAGGGGGGTGCGTCGCACGACAGAGGGCTCGAGCCCCTTCACCAGGAGCTCGGGACTGCGCAGCGGGAGAGAGCGGCTGATGGCTGGGACGAGGCCTGTCCGAAGCTATTTTCGGGTAAGCGGGGCGGGGGGGGGGGCAGGGGAGAATGCCCCTTGCAAGAGGACACTGCCCCTTGCCAATCGATGGTCTTTCTTCATCGGCTCGTCTTGGAGGCTGAGGCTCTCCCACCTCTTTCGAATTTCCCCCTGGAGGTGGGACTGCGTTTAACCTCCGCAGCGCCGTGCGCCCCAGCCTTCTTCTCGTTCTCCTCCTGCATACGCTGTTTCCTCCTCTTCATTTTCCCAATGCATGTCACAAAATTGTTACAGCCCCTCGCGCAACTCTTCGTCTTTCATGCGAGGGGGATCTCCAACTACAGCGCCATAGGGGACGCCCGCATATGGCCTACTGGCTATCTTTATGCATATCTCGTTCTTCCGAGGGGGGCGGCGCGACAACCGCGCCAGTGGGCGCGTCCGCATACGGCGGACGTGCTCGTTCTGGTAGAACTTCTCACGCATGTGGTGTCCCGTAGGGAGGAGAAGATCACCAACTACGGCGCCATTGGGGACGCCCGCAGGTGGCAGACAAACGCATGTCGGCAAACGCCTCCGATTTGGTGCCCCAAGGCAAACCCAGACCGCATCGGACGCTCTGTGGCGTATCCATCACAAGCTTTTGCGTCCCATCGGGCGGGGGCTCAACTGCGGCGCCCGCGAGCGCGCCCGCATACGGCGGACGGTTTCAATCTGGTACAATCCCTCGCTCTTGCCGTGCTCTACGGGGAGGATGGGGCCTCCTGGCAACGGCATGGGCGGGTCCGCATGACGGACGGACTTATTCTGGCACGAGCCTCACACACGCGCCCCCCCGAGGAAGCCCCAGCCCACACACGTCGGCCAGTCCAACTCACCCCTCACACACTGGGTGCCCTACAGAGGGAGCCCCAACTACGGCGCCAATGCGCGCGCCCGCGACAGACGGCCAATTCCTTCTGGCACACCCCTCGCACACGTCGCGCCCCCGCCATAAATTTGAGGCATTGCGTCCGTGTCACGGCCGCCCACGGCGGACGGACTCATTTTGGCACGCGCGTCTCACGACCGATGAGGCCCTACACGCGGCACCAGTGAGGTGACCCGCATACGGCAAGCATGCCCATCTCTCTCACAGCTCGTTCCCCACACGCAGGCCCCAGCTACGGAGCTAGCGGGCGCGCCCGCACACGACGAGCGGACTCAGTCTGGCGCAACCCTGACAAAACTCGTGCCCCATTGGGAGCCGCAACCACCTCGGCAGCGGGCGCGCCGACGCGCCCCTCGCACATCTCGTTACCCACACGGAGCCCCAGCTGCGGACCGTGAGCGCGCCCGCACACGGCCAACGTATTCGTAACTGTACGTGCGATCCTCGAGCGTCTCGTGCTTCAGAAATGAGCCCCACTTTGGTGCCAGTGGGCGCGAGCGCACACTGCAGACGGATGCGTTTTCGAATATCCCTCACGCGTTTCGTGATTCATGAAAGGCTTCATCCGCTGTGTCAGTGGACGCATCCTCGTGTTTGTGAGTGCTCGGTTTGACGCAAACTTGTGAACGAGATTTCCGGGGGTGCCAGCCGTCAGTTGGGTTCGTTGCTGGGATCTTCGGGGGTGCATCCGCATGTGGTCGCCGCATTCGTTCTGGACCACCTCTCGCGCGGTTCGTGCCTCAGAGGTCGAGTAAGGGATCGTCTGCAGGATTGGTTTGCCCCGAACTTGAACTTTCTCGTCGAACCAGTGACTAGTTAATGAATGGTTCGTAGATGTACGAACATTCGACGTGTTGCTTTGTCGATCATACGAGTTTTTGTTGGGATGCATCAATTCTGGAACCGACCTCCCACTTGAAGAGGGCGTCCCGATAACAATCCCAGTGGCTCGTCAGCACAGACGGGCGCCACGCTCAACGCCTTCCAGCTGCAGGGGAGGGCTTCCTCGCCCGAGAAGGGGCGAGGGGTGCAGCCCCCGTGCAGGAATGCAAGTGGGCCAACGAGACGGAGCGACGAATTGCCCGAGGGCGGGTGCCGCCCACGCGGCCACACCACTTCCCCCAGAGTGGGCGGCGCGCACAAGGGGGGGTTAGGGGGGAGGGGGGACGGCTTCTTTGAAGAAGGCTGCTTCTTAGAAGGCGCCCGCCCTCCATCTACAGACAAGGCCCGCGCCTTCTAAGAACCAGGGGGGCACTTCTGAGAAGCCCTTCCCCCTCCCCCGATCCCCCCTCTGCGCGTGGCCGCCAGAGTAGTGTGTGCAACCATGGCAATAATAACTTGCCCTGACCAGTGTGTGTGTATATGCTTCGGGTCCCCTGCACTCGATGGCCGACGGTTGCTACGCATCCGTCTTCTCCCAACCGAGTCTTGGGTCCGGCACCTGGCCAGTGGGCGTCCAGATCGAACCCGTTCCCCTGTCACCGCCTAGGTGCCGCACACGGTGCGTGACTACTTGGCTTACTCGATTTTCTTTACGTGTCAAGCTCGCCGCCGAATCCTAAGGGTGGTCCGAAGCTGCCCGCAATACCTTTTCGTTGCTACTGCGCACGCCCACACGCTACGCGGCCCGCGACGGCCCACTGTATCTTTTCTGGATTGTCGCCCTGGTTCTGGGAGACAGGCATTGGGTACGAACATCGGTTTAATCTGAATGTGAGGTAGATCTGCGTAATTATGTTTCTGCCTACATGCCGAGGTATATACAGGGACACCGAGAGTGACGCGAGGGTCTGACGATGACATGGTCTTCGCAGAAGAGCTGTTTAGGGTAACCAGTCTGGGCCCGCTCACCATACAAAATGCCGGGGACGCCCAGGCCAGAGCAACCCGGGGGCATACGGCGCGACTCCTGAGGGACCCGCCTTACAGGAATCTCGGACCCTGCTGGGAGAGGTGTCCCGAAGATGACGAGGAGGCGGGGGATGCCCTATCCCCGACCCAGACATCCGATGAACTAATTTTTCAACCTGCGGGCCCGAGAGGTCCCGATCCCTCCCCCGAGGACAATATTGATGGCCCTGGGGCCCAAAGATGGATCCAACGACGCCGGCATGGAGGAAGAAAACCGGGGACTGAACAAAAAGCAGCCCGCTCGACGGCTGGAGACTCCGAGTCGGCAACTTCGAAGAATGTGATTTGCAAGGGCGCGGCTTGTAACCTGCACCCTGGGGGGGCAGGCGAGGACCTTGACGGAGCTCTCCGCCGCGCCCCGAGGAGGCCCGAGGAGGGCAACGTGGTGCGCCCCGAGCCCCAACGACGCAGATCGCAAACCACACCCCGTCGTCGCTCGGACGTCCCTTCCCCGTGCATGTTTCGGCTTCGTGCGTGTATCTTTTTCGCAAGATGGCCCAACATGCTCCTCCATGATCCTTGCCGAAAAAACGTGCACACGTCCAAGCGATGCCAAGGAAGTGGGCCCCGAGGAACACGGGTCCTGGACCCGAGGGCCTTCCCCCAGGACTGGCTCTTCGTTCCGAGCCCTCTCCTGACAGCCCCGGGGCCCGTGGAGGGCCCCGAGAGCCCTAGAGCGGCGAAGAACCTCACGATCCGTTTCTCTCAGGACCCACCTCCTTCCTGGCGACCTCTGTAACTGTCGGCGGCGAGCGAGGGGGGGAGGTGAGAAGGAGGAGGCCTTCTCAGAAGGCGGCGGGGCTTCTCAGAAGCCCTCCGGCCTTCCGAACAGTGTTCTGTGTCTTCAGGGAAGACTTAGAAAATGTTTCAGCACAAGGCCCGAGGACTTCAGAGCCTTCTGAGAAGGCCCGCCCCTTCTCACTTCCCCCCCGGGGGCGCCGCCCAAGTTGGGCGTCGTTTCAGGGGGGGAGGCGATACAGGAGGGGGGAAAGAATTGTACACTTTTTGGGCCCCAGAGGCTCCCTTTTGGGCCCTCAAGGGCCGCCTTAGGGGCTCTGAAGGGCTCCCCTTTTGCAGCCCCCGCTGCCACCCTATTTATCGATCACCCATTACGCGGCGCCCAGTGTACACGTCGTTAATTTCTAATCGTGCTCATTTCTAATTGTGCTGGTTTCTAACTGTTCCTGGCCACTTAGTGGCCAGCAAGAGGCCCAGGATAGAACAATTAGGACTAAAAGGATTCTGCCCCCCCAAAAATCAAGGAATTTTCGAAGAACTAGAAATGAACAACGTGTAAGTCTCCCATCAGGATGCCTTTGCCGCCTGGATCCCCGAACAACCGCCCAGCGCCTCGGCTCCCCCGCAGGAGTGCTAAGTCGAAGCCAAATCCAGGAAAACATCGGGTGAAGATAGAATCAAGAATCTCTGAGATCCCGCGGTTCTTGAAGATGTCTCGGGCGCCACGCGGCCGTTCCAGAACGCTCTGGAACGGAATTTTCTTCGCCCTAGTCCCATCCGGTTCCGTCTTGGCGACTTTTGTAAGCCTCCGATCCGGATCCCAGTGCCACTCGGACCCCTGGACCTCTGCCCCGCGCGTCGGCTATCCCGCAGGAGTGTCCCCGCCAGTCAAGAGGACGGCCTCTGACCCGCGGCCCGCCGGTGGCATGCGGTGCGGTGCGGCGGCACGGTGGTCGGAACCAATCGAGGAGCGCCTCGCGCTGTGCTGGGGCAGAGCATGCAGCGTGTCGGCGGCCAGCCTGGGGCGGAGGCGAGGAGGGGCGGGCCTTCTCAGAAGGCTCGGAAGTCCTCGGGCCTTGTGCCGAAACATTTTCTCAATCTTCCCCGAGGACACATAACACCTTTCGGAAGGCCGGAGGGCTTCTGAGAAGCCCCGCCGCCTTCTGAGAAGGCCTCCTCCTTCTCACCTCCCCCCCTCGCTCGCCGCCGAGCGTGACTTCTCCGAGGCACTGCAGGCGCGCGGCTTGCATGCCAATTCATCGAGGTGTTGTGTTGCACCATGTGTGCTCGCCCTACCATGTCTTGCCGATACGCTCGTGCGTGTTGTGTGTCCCTCTCCCCCGAACTTCAAAGTTGACGCGTTTGGGGACGACCGCCGGCGACTTGCAGATCAGACCCCCTGCCAGCATTGATCATGTGGGAGGGGGGGAAATGATGTGGCACGAGTGTTTGCCAGATGTTTCCGACACTGTATGCCCCCCTGCGTGCTTCGGTTCGCCCCCCCTCCCGCTCCCCCCGAAGTAGCAGCGCACCGAAGGCCACCCTGGCGAAGGGTCAGTCTTACGTGCACCCGGCCCGCGGAGGCAAAACCAGACATCCAGAGAACGTCAGAAGACCCAGTGGGCCTCGGAGGCGATGGGGTTGCGTGGCGAGACCATCGGCAACTTCACACTCGCACAAGCTGTGTGCGCTCGTGAGGGCCAGATCGCAGAGCATCTGTGCGAATCAAGAGGTTGGTGCTTGTGACAGTCAAGAATGTGGCACCCCCAGTGAGTACGGTCGGACCTGGGCCATCAAAACCTCCCTCAAGAACATGAGCCCCTCGGCCGGCCAGAGCAGACAGGACATCCAAGCGCATCCTCCCCAGGAGGCACAAACAGCATCCAGCAGACACGAAGAACACGAGAGGGTGCCCTCCCCGAACCGACCTCGGTCTTTAGAGGAAAAAGAACTATGCACATACACCGATTCTGGCCAGGCCCATCCTGAGCCCAGGATCGGTGCATACGCCCTCCTACCTTGGCCAGGAAGGCATATGCACCGATCCTGGGTCAAGGACGGGCCTCGCCAGGATCGGTGCATGTGCATAGTTCTCGTCGCCCGAGTCTTACACCTCGGTCCGAGATTGTACCGAGAAGCTGGGCGTTCGCGATCCTCTCAACATCTTTCGGGGCCGAGGCCCCACGGCGCGCCCCGCACTGGGCCGGCAGGGCGGCCGGCAGAGCGTCTCTCCCCCTCGCTCTCCCGCTTTTTTTTCGTGACACGGTGCCGCCCCGACCTCTCGACCGCTCCCTATGGGGCTGGCCCGGCCGTCCTGTGGCGGTCCCGGGGCGGGGGGAAGGCCCCGAGGGCCGCAAACGGCCAAGCACCTGCCACCGGTTTTGGAAGCTGTCGGAGGTTGGGGGGTGAGATCGCAGGGTAACGGAGTCCCCCCGCCGGGAAATCGGGTTTCGAGTTCGTGCTCGTGCCGTGCGTGCGGGCGAGGCGAAGCTGCGTGGGCCAGCGAGAGGAATTCACTCTGCTGTCGCTAGGGGTCCGCCAACACAAATGTTTCCCCCCCCCCCGGCCTTGTCAAGCGGTAGCCCACGTTGTCCCGTCGGCTGCCCGCCGGTCGCCCAAGCGAAGGAACAACAAAAAATCTGCCACGTCATCAACACCATCATCGCCCATCAGCACCACGTTCATCACAGTTGTCGTCATGAGCCCCCCCCCTCCCCCCACCCCCCCACAACCTCCTTATCACCCGCAGGGTGGTCGTACAGGTATCTTGTCTTTCTGCCCGCTTTGTTGTTTGCGGTTCGCCCCAGAAAATTACCCTGGCGAAGGACCCCACCATCTGCAGTTGTGAATGCCGCAGTGGTGCGTATCCTTTTCGGTTGAGCTCCCTATGGAGCTACGAAGCGTGTGAGTGGTGTGCCGAAACGGGTGGCGGGAACGCATATGGTCACAGCCACTGGGGCCTTCAGTGGAGCTCCCTATGGCGGGGACGCATGTGGTCACAGCCACTGGGGCCTTCGACGGAGCTCCCTGTGGGGCCGCGAAGCGTGTGACGGGTGTGCCGGCATGGGTGGCGGGGACGCATGTGGTCACAGCCACTGGGGCCTTCGGTGGAGCTCCCTGTGTGGCCACGGAGCGTGTGACGGGTGTGCCGACAAGGGGATGGGGGGAGGGGGAGGAGGAGGAGGAGGGGGAGGGGGAGGGAGGAGGAGGAGGGAGGAGGAGGGGAGGAGGAGGAGGAGGAGGAGGGGGAGGAGGAGGAGGGGGAGGCGCCGTCTCTTCAAGACGAGGATCCAACACCACAGGATGGCTGGGAGGAGACGGTGCGAGCACGTCGGGGCGCAACGCGCCCCCCCACGGCTGGCCACGGAGCTCTGCGCCCCCAGCGAGGAGCGCGAGGCCGACAGCTGGAAGACGGTGTCCTCGCAGAGCGCGGTGGTCGCCAGGGGGCTCGCCAGGCCCCTCGCAGGGGGTGCACGGCCTCGCCTCGACCGCGCGCGGGGCCGGCCTCCGCGGAACCCGGACCTCCTCGCGGCGCGCAGGTGCCGCGCTGCCGGAGGGGGCGCCACACGAAGGAGCGAAGGGGGGCTTCTCTGGCCAGGGCGAGCCTCGGCTACAAATGGGAGGGAGGAGGGAGGAGGGGAGGAGAGGAGGGAGGAGGGAGGAGGGAGGAGGGAGGAGGGAGGAGGGAGGAGGAGGAGGAGGAGGAGGAGGAGGAGGAGGAGGAGGAGGAGGAGGAGGAGGAGGAGGAGGAGGGAGGAGGGAGGAGGGAGGAGGGAGGAGGGAGGAGGGAGGAGGAGGAGCCCCGACCGAGATCCAAGCAGCGGCCCTGAAACCCGAGCCCCTCCTGGGCCAAACGTGGTCCGTATGCCAGCGCCTTGACCGTAGAGGCCTCCCAGGAGGGGTTCCGAGCAGATGGCGTCGGAGGATCGCGCCGCATCGCCGATGCATCGCAGATGCATCAGCGGTGCAGTGGCGAGGTGCAGTCGGACCTCAGCCAAAGTAACACCCTTCAAGAACATGAGAACCTCCGTAGGCCAAAATGAAGGAGCATTCGAGGGTACCCTCCCCCAGGAGGCACAATAACATCCAGCAGACACGAAGAACATGAGGGTACCCTCCCCGAACCGACCTCGGTCTTATACCTCGGTCCGACTGTACACGCAATAACGGCGGCGAACGAGGGGGGAAGCTAGCCGGAGAATGCCTTCTCGGCATGCGCCTGGGCTTCTCGGAAGCCCTCCGGCCTTCTGAGAAATTGTCTGTTTCCTCGGGGGAGGCTTACAACACTTCTCGGGAGGCCAGGGGGCTTCCGAGCCTTCTGAGAAGGCCCGCCCCTTCTCACTTCCCCCCCGGGCTCGCCGTCGACAAGAGTGACCGCAGGCAAGAGTGACCTTTTGTGCGCGGCTTTCGGGGGGTGCGGGGAGGCCAAACTCAAGCGCGCACGCCGCTGTTATCGCATCGCATTCAATCATCTGGATGCCCCCGTATGCCTGCACCAGAGGTCACTCCAGCGAAAATTCACTCTTACAAATAGCCGAGTGCCCGCATGGCCGAGGACGTCCCCAAACATCCGGCCCCTCCAGCAAAAATCGAGACGGAAATTCACTGTTTTCGGCTTATCGGGGCCCTTGCTGGGCCCTGGGACTGTCAAAAACGACTCGGAATGAGCGACTGGTCCCAGGGAAATGGTCGAGATGTCTGGGTTGTCTTCTGTGTGTGTGTGCGTGTGTGTGTGCGCGCTTGCCTGGCCGAGGACGTCCTTCCGCGGGGGCCGGGCCTGCCAGGGTCCAGGCGAGCCCGCCGGTCCTCGGGGGCGATGACGTCACGACGGCATCGCGCGTCCGGTGCTGCGTGCCTGGCGGGCGAGATCGGGGGGCAAAGGGAGAGCCGCGCGCTGCGGTTGCCACCCTGGAGCGGCTCATGCCCTGAGGGGCAACGATAGGGGCAGGACTGGCACAGGGGGAAACATCGACCTGGAATCGGCGATACATCGCCGATCGATCGGCGATAGGCCCCCGATCGCAAATCCACATGCTCCTGGGCTGGGTGGGGCAATCAGGCCCTTATCGGCGATCGAAGGGTGATTGGTGGTCGATGGCTCCCCCCCTGTGCCCATCCCCCCCCTATCGTTGCCCCTGATGCCCCCGCGGCCCAGAAGAGCCGCGACGCGCACAGACAGGCCCCGTGGTGGCCCAAGGCAAGGGTCGTGGGTGCATCTGGCCAGGACTCTTGTCAATTCTGGGGCGGGTGGCCAACAGTGAGTCTGGGGCGGGTGGCCGAAGGGCACTGGCTGCTGGTGAAGATGCCCCCCTTTTCCGGGGATCCCGACATCCCATTGTCCTGGAGTGCGAGGTCCACAAGAACAGGTGACGCGAACCAGGAGGGATGAAGGAGTGTCAAGGGGGGCTGCTAATGACGATGCCCCCCTCTTCCCAGGACCCCGACAGCCCATTGTCCTGGAGTGCGAGGTCCACAAGAACAGGTGACGCGAATCATGACGGATGAAGGAACGTCAGTGGCTGCTGTTAATGACGATGCTCCCCTGTTCCCAGGACCCCGGCAGCCCATTGTCCTGGAGTGCGAGGTCCACAAGAACAGGTGACGAGAACCAGGAAGGATGAAGGAGTGTCAAGGAGGGCTGCAAATGACGATGCCTCCCTTTTCCAGGGACCCCGACAGCCCATTGTCCTGGAGTGCGAGGTGAAAAAGAACAGGTGACGCGAACCAGCGAGGATGGAGGAACGTGAGGGAGGGCTGCTAATCACGATGCCCCCCCTTTTCCCGGGACCCCACTTCCCATTGTCCTCGAGTGCGAGGTCCACAAGAATAGGTGACGCGAACCAGGATGGAGGAGGGTCAGGCGGGGGCTGCTAATGACGATGCCTTCCATTTCCCAGGTCCCCGACAGTCCATTGTCCTGGAGTGCGAGGTCCACAAGAACAGGTGACGCGAACCAGGAAGGATGAAGGAACGTCAGGGAGGACTGCTAGTGACGATGCCCCCTTTTCCCGGGACCCCGACAGCCTATTGTCCTGGAGTGCGAGGTCCACAAGAACAGGTGACGCGAACCAGGAAGGATGAAGGAGTGTGAAAGGAGGGCTGCTAATGAAGATGCCCCCCTTTTCCCGGGACCCCGACAGTCCCTTGTCCTGGAGTGCGAGGTTCACAAGAACAGGCGACGCGAACCAGGCAGGATGAAAGAACGTCAGGCGGGGCTGCTAATGACGATGCCACCCTTTTCCCAGGACCCCGACAGTCCATTGTCCTGGCGTGCGAGGTCCACAAGAGCAGGCGACGAGAACCAAGAACGATGAAAGAACGTGAGGGAGGGCTGCTGATGACGATGCCCCCCCTTTTCCCGGGACCCCGACAGCCCATTGTCTTGGAGTGCGAGGTCCACAAGAACAGGTGTAGCGAAACATGAAGGATGAAGGAGTGTCAGGGAGGACTGCTACTGACGTGCCCCCCATTTCCTGGGACCCGACAGCCCATTGTCCTGGAGTGCGAGGTCAAAAAGAACAGGTGACGCGAACCAGGAAGGATCAAGGAGCGTCAAGGATGGCTGCTAATGACGATGCCCCCCTTTTCCCTGGACCCCGACAGCCCGTTGTCCGAGGTCCACAATAACAAGTGTAGCGAACCAGGGCGGATGAAGGAGTATTAAGGAGGGCTGCGAATGACGATGCCCCCCTTTTCCCAGGACCCCGACAGCTCATTGTCCTGGAGTGCGATGTGAAAAAGAACAGGAGTGCGAGGTCCACAAGAATAGGTGACGCGAACCAGGAAGGATCAAGGATTGTCAGGGGGGGCTGCTAATGACGATGCCCCCCCTTTTCCCTGGACCCCGACAGCCTATTGTCCTGGAGTGCGAGGTCCACAAGAATAGGTGACGAGAACCAGGAAGAATGAAGGAACGTCAGGAGTACTGCTAATGACGATGCACCCCTTTTCCCTGGACCCGGACAGCCCATTGTCCTGGAGTGCGAGGTGAAAAAGAACAGGTGACGCGAACCAGGAAGGATGAAGAAATGTCAGGGGGGGCTGCTAATGACGATGCCCCCCTTTTCCGGTGACCCCGACAGCCCGTTGTCCTGGAGTGCGAGGTCCATACGAGCAGGTGACGCAAAATAGGAAGGATGAAGGAACGTCAAGGGGGGCTGCTAATGACGATGCCCCCCTGTTCCCGGCACCCCGACAGCCCATTGTCCTGGAGTGCGAGGTCCACAGGAACAGGTGACGCGAAACAGGAAGGATGGAGGAACGTCAGGGCTGCTAATGACGATGCCACAAATTTCCCGGGACCCCGATAACACATTGTCCTGGAGTGTGAGGTCCACAAGAACAGGCGACGCGAACCAGGAAGCATGGAGGAGTGTCAGGGGGAGCTGCTAATGACGATGCCCCCCCTTTTCCAGGACCCCGACAACCCATTGTCCTGGAGTGCAAGGTGCATAATAATAGGTAACGCGAACCAGGAAGGATGAAGGAGTGTCAAGGAGGGCTGTTAATGACGATGCACACCTTTTCCCGGGACCCCAACAGCCAATTGTCCTGGAGTGTCAGGTACACAAGATCAGGTGTAGCAAACCAGGAAGGATGAAGGAGTGTCAGTGGGGTCTGCTGATTGACGATGCCCCCCATTTCCTGGGACCCTGACAGCCCATTGTTTTGAAGTGCGAGGTCCACAAGAACAGGTGACGCGAACCAGGAAGGATCAAGGATTGTCAGGGGGGGCTGCTAATGACGATGCCCCCCCTTTTCGTGGGACCCCGACAGCCTATTGTCCTGAAGCGCAAGGTCCACAAGAACAGGTGACGCGAACCAGGAAGGATGAAGGAGTGTCAGAGGGGGGGGGCTGCTAATGACGATACCCCCAATTTGCCCGGACCCCGACAACCACGAAACGTGTAAGGGATTCGCCGACATGGGCGGTTAAACCGCATGCGGCCGCTGCAAGTAAGGTCTTCGGTGGAGCTCCCCATGGGGCTTCGAAGCGTGAAAGGAGTGCACCAAAATATGGGTGGAATCGCATGCGGACGCTGCCACATGGGCCGTCGGTGGAGCTCCCTATGGGGCTACGAAGCGTGTGAGGGGCTTGCCGACATGGAGGGTGGAACCGCACGCGGGCGCTGCCACTGGGGCCTTTCGGTGGAGCCCCGTATGGGGCCACGAGACGTGTTAGCGATGCACCAACATGGCGGGTGGAACCGCGTGCGGGCGCTGCCATTGGGGCCTTCGGTGGAGCTCCCTATGTGGCCACGAAGCGTGTGATGGGTGCATCGACATGGGGGTGGAACCGCATGCGGACGCTGCCACCGGGAACCGCATGCGAGTGCTGCCACTAGGGCCTTCGGTGGAGCTCCCTATGGAAGCGTGTGAGGGGTGTGCCGACATAGGGGTGGAACCGTGCGCGGGCGCTGCCAGTGGAGCTCGGTGGAGCTCCGTATGGGGCCACGAAGCGTGTGATGGGTGCGTGGGGCGCTGCACCGAAATAAACATGGAATCGCACGCGGGCGCTGAAACTGGGGCCTTCGGTGGGGCTCCGTATGTGGCCACGAAGCGTGTGGAAAAAGGTGCACCGGGATGGAAGGTGGGTGGAACCGCATGCGGGCGCTGCCACTGGGGCCTCGGGTGGAACTCCTTCTGGGGCCAGGAAGCGTGTGAGAGGTGTGCCGAAACTGGAGGTGGAACCGCATGGTGGCCTTGCCACGGGAGCCTTGGGTGGAGCTCCTTATGGGGCCACGAAGCGTGTGAGGGGTGCACCGACATGGGGGTGGAACCGCATGCGGACGCTGCCACCGGGCCTTCGGTGGAGCTCCTGATGGGGCCACGAAGCGCGTGCGGGGTGCACCGAACATTACCCTGTGACGTACCCAACCCATCTGCATCCAATGACAAAAGATGTTGGCCCAAAGTTGCCAGGACAATGAACGTGCAGGCGCCGTTGTTGTTTTGTAAGCTACGTGGGATACGCGCACGTGGTATGCTTCACAGGACAACAGTAGAAGGACGAGGAGCGAGGGCCCAGGCTCGAAGAGGACGTGTGGGTGGGAACAAAAAACAAGAGAAGGGCGCGATGGGGGGCCGAACGGTCAGCGCGGCAGCAGCAGAGAGAAGGTGACATGGGGGGGTGGACGAAAACGAAAGCGACGGGAGGAGACAGGAGAGTGTTGCTTGTGTCGGTAGCATGGTAAAGATGCAGCGCTGCCTGCGCCGCGTCGCCGCGGCGCCCGACATGATCAAGCCTGCTTATAGCTAGTGCAAGGAGCGAGCGAACCCCAGCTCGCCCGCTAGTTTCTCTGCCGCCTTCCTGCACTTTTCAGCGCGGGAACTAAACGCTCGACGGTGCGCCACCAGGTCTGCAGGCGGCCCGCGGGCCAGGAAATCCAGGCCGGAATCGCGTATCATGAGGAAGTTGTCCGCGGTCGTCGCCCTCGACAGCCTCGCGTAAAGCTGCAGCCAGAGGTCGTCCATTTTTCTCATCATTGCACCCGCGAGACAATGACTCCGCGGTGTATGGTGCGGCTCTGACAGGCCGTGGACGTCAGGACTTCGGCATGAGAGATGGCCAAGCCAGTGCGCGTGACCTTGTGCTTCCAGAAGTCAAACGGGCTCGAACTTTGTGGTTCGATGAAGACGAGGCGCGCCATGTCCGCGGCGTCGATGCTGTCATCGAGCTCCGCGAGCTTCTTGCCGCAGGGGCCGGCCTTGTATTTGTCCATGCGCACCCAAGCGCCGTGCGACAAGTACCGGAGGTGCGCCGGACGTCGCTCAGCCTTCGGTGCCTCCACCTCGTCCTTATTTTTCGGGTTTACGGCCACGTGGACGACCTCGCCCTCTGCGTTCTTGACGAGCCCTCTGGTCTGGTCCAGGTGCTCCAGCAGACGGATGCGCGCATGCCCACGTGCAAGGGTAGCATCCCGTGCATGCTGCCCGTTTCACCGGGTTGGCGCAGTTGACCAAAGTGGCGACAAATTCGCAGATCGCAGCCCCCCAGGGACGGCGAGGTCTAATCTGAATCTGGGTGGTGCCTCAATCCGCTGGACCCCCCAGCAGCCCTCTAAAGTGGTGAGAGTTTGGCAGATCACAGCCCCCAGGGACGGCGAGGTCTAATCTGAATCTGGGTGGTGCCTCACTCCGCTGGACCCCCCAGCAGCCCTTGAAAGTGGAGACAGGCTCGCAGCTCGCAGCCCTCCAGGGATGGCGAGGTCTAATCTGAATCTGGGTGGTGACTCACTCCGCTGGACCCCTCAACAGCCCTCGAAAGATGATACAGTTTCGCAGATCGCAGTCACCCAGGGATTGCGAGGTCTAATCTGAATCTGGGTGGTGCCTCACTCCGCTGGACCCCCCAACAGCCCTCGAAAGATGATACAGTTTCGCAGATCGCAGTCACCCAGGGATTGCGAGGCCTAATCTGAATCTGGGTGGTGCCTCACTCCGCTGGACCCCCAGCAGCCCTCGAAAGTGGCGACAGTTTCGCAGATCGCAGCCCCCCAAGGATGGCGAGGTGTAGTCTGAATCTGGGTAGTGCTTCACTCCGCTGGACCCCCCAACAGCCCTTGAAACTGGCGACAGTTTCGCAGATCGCAGCACCCCAGAGATGCCCAGGTCTAATAAATCGGCCCAATGGAAAAGTTCTTTGCATTTTCGTCACATCTCTCGCTCGCGGAAGCCGACGGAAGTAAAGCGAGGCGGAAAACGGCGGAAGGCCGTCGGAAGGATTGCGGAAGACAGCGGGAGTAAATGACGCCCCGTCCGAACCCCTCTACCCCCCGTAGAAACCTAGCAATGTAGTCTTATGCCGTGGGCCGGGCGGGATCCCGCTTGACCTACTCCCTTTTAGTAGCATAATTTTAATTAAGCCAGGCTCCAACAAAAACCCTCATTAAACATAGGGTAAACAAATACCCGGGTCGTTCACGGATTCCGCCATGCTGGGATCGGAATGAAGTAACTTTGGGCTCCGAAGTTGCAGCGTCCCTGGCGTGTAAGGGTCGTCTTGAGGTCATCTTGAGATCAGATCTCGGTCATGCTTGGATCGCGCAGCCGTCGCGTGCCCATTCTGGGGCCACCCTGGGCGCGCGTGGACCCATCTTGTTGCCATCAGGCCATCTCGGCGTCACTCGTGGCTCATGTGTTTGGTTATCTTCGAGTCGGTCTGAGACGGTCCAGAATCCATGGCGGGATCGTGTTGTGGCGGTGTCATCCCAAAATCGGCTGGACGTTATCGCCTTTGGGCTTAGGCCCTCCCGGAACCATTTTGTGGCCATGGGGACGTCTTGGGATCTCGCGCGCGCGAGCGTTCAGCATGCGCGCGCGACAACTCATCTCGCCGACGGGTGTACACGCAGATACTTCTAGCTGCGAGTTTCCACGGAAACTTTTGTTGAAGCCAAGTATGAATGTGGGTGGTGGCTCATTCCGCTGGACCCCCAGCAGCCCTCGAAAGTGGCGACAAATTCGCAGATCGCAGCCTCCCAAGGATGGCGAAATCTAATATGAATCTGGGTGGTGCCTCGATCCGCTGGACCCCAACAACCCTCTGAGGTGGCGACATTTTCGCAGATCGCAACCCGTCAAAAATGTCGAGGTCTAAAATGTGGATGGCGCCACACTCCGTTAGACCCACCAGCAACCTTTGAAATTGCGACAGTTTCGCAGGTCGAGACCCCGCAGGGATGACCAGGTAGGAGGCAAGCTGGCACGCAGGAAGGAGCGAGGTTAGAGGCAGGTAGGACAGATGAGAGGAGGAGAGAGGCGGGAAGGAGGAGAAGGAGACGCGCGTGCGCAGTGCTCTCTTCAAAACGAGCACCCAACGCAGAAGGGTTTGGAAAGAAGGGTGGAACCGCATGCGGGCGCTGTCACTGGGGCCTTCGGTGGAGCTCCCTATGGGATCGCGAAACGTGTGAGGGGTGTGCCGAAATTGTTGACTGGCGCAGAGGGCAGAGGCAGAGATGGGAGGGGGGGGAGGAGGAAGGAGAGGAGAGGAGACGCGGGTCGTTGTCTCTTCAAAACGAGGACCCAAAACCACAGGATGGTTGGGAGAAAAAGGAAGACAAGAGTTTTATTCGCTACTTTCGGCCTCTGGAAGCTCCTTCTGGGCATCGGGACTGTGAAACAACGCCTCAGGATGAGGAACGGGTCCTGGGGAATGGGTCGAGACCTCTGGGGGTCGACGTTCTGACAAAATCATGGCGTCGGGGGTCTGGGTGACCAGCTGCAAAAAAGATGCGGGGTACTTATTTCTGCTCCTGGCCCCAGCCCCGTCGGAGGAGTGCCCCGCTGGATCCCTAGACATGCGATATCTCGATTTTTCCAACTCTCCTCCTCCTCCTCCTCCTCCTCCTCCTCCTCCTCCTCCTCCTCCTCCTCCTCCTCCTCCTCCCCTTTCCCTGGGGGCCGCTTGACTCCTCCCGAGCCGTCGTCTGACGGTCCCCGGGGCCCGGCAAAGGGGCCCCAGAGGCCGAACACGGCTCGGGACCTCCCGCCGCGATCCCTTCACGGCGCGCGCGGCCCGTGCCCGTCCCCAGCGCCTGGCGCCTGCCGGCGGGGGAGCTCGCCGCCGGCCCACTGCGCGCTGTGCTCCGGCAGTATGGTGGCGGAGAGGTCCCCCGGCTCGACTGCCGCCGCCGAGGGCGACGTGCAGCTGCCGTTGGGGCCCGGCGGAGAAGGCTGTGCCAACCACTGCGCGGGGGACCGGGTCGCCGAGCTGTCGCCTGCGGGCGAGGGGGGGAGCGAGAGGGAGAAGGCCTTCTCAGAAGGCTCGGAAGTCCCCCCGGCCTTCTGAGAAGTTTTCTGAGCCGTCCCCGAAGACGCAGAAAAGCTCCCAGAGGCCCGAGGCCTTCTGAGAAGGCCTCCTCCTTCTCACTTTCCCCCCTCGCTCTGGGGCCTCGAAAAGAATGCGGCGTACAGCACAGGCATACGCAAGGAAAACCCGCTGCAAGAAATCCTTGGACGCGCGCGTCGTCGATTTTTGAGCTTCCTGAGGTGCCCCAATAGTGGGACCAGAGGGCGAAAGGGGGATCAGACATTTTCGTGAGGCAAATGCCGGCAGGCTGGTTTCTTATTCGACGTGCCTGCTGTAGAAGGTCCTGAACAAGCCGAGGAGTAGCAAACGTGGAATGGGCAAATTGTAGGCGCCCGCAAGATATTCAACGCCTGGCCCAACACCCGAGTCTCCCGGCTGAAAATCTAGCTCCAGGCCGAAATCCGCGATCGTGGCCGCGCAATGTAGGATTTCTGTGTGTGTAGCTTCCTAAGACGAAGGCATGTCCAAAACAACCGCAAGATGCCCGAAGACCAGCCTGAGACGGTCAAACGATTTCCATAATCATCTCAGATGTCTCCAAGATGGGTCAAGATGTCCCAAGAACCCCCCAAGAGACGCCCAAAGAAGCCTCCGGCGATGTCCAAACAAATGAGCAAGCTGAGGGGAAAGAGCCTTTTTTGTTTCCGAGGTATTTGGCTGCAAACTGCCTCGGGAAATCTGTGGATGGCCCCCCAAAGCGGTCATAACGGCCCAACACGATCCGAGACGGCTCCAAGACGCACCCAGATCCGCCCAGTCGCAGGGCACTGAACCAGAGCGGGTCCTAAACTCAACCTCGTTCGTGCTGCGCTGCTGTCCTGGCACTGTGGCGGGGTCTGCCGCGTGCAGCTGGATCCGGATTCGACACCCAGACCCGACGATTAGGCCAGGGTGGGTGGGGAACGGACGGACTGCCGCAGTCCATGGCAACTTCCTGCCGCCTGAAAATCTCCCAGTGGTTGGAGGGCGAAGTGGCCCGCAGCAAAATACCCACCCAGGTCACGCTCCCTGCACAGTGGCGCCCCTCCAAACCAGCGCAGCTCGCCTGCGGACTCCAGGCGCGACGCGGCGACCGCGACTGGCTCCGCCAAATATGGCGATCTGCTGCCGCCCCACTGCCCGCACGTTGCGTCTGCCTGCCACCTCGATGGCGAGCGACTGCCGCTGGCCGGCACTGCTCGGCCCTCCCACAGGCCATGCCACGCGGCCTGCGCCGTCCAGTCCGAGGGGACCTCGCCGAAACTCGCTGGCAACTTTCCAGGGTCCCATGCGCTCGTGCCGCCGCTGGGGTTGCCTGCCGCCAGCGCTGGGCTCCCCAGCCGCTGCAGGGGTTCCCAGCCGCGCGCGCGGTCATGGCCAGGTGTGCAGGTCCCCGCCATGCTCCCTGGCCGCCGCAAGGGCTCCCAACCACTTGCGCGCCCCAGGGCGTCCGTGTTGGCTCCAGCCAGGCTGCTCTGCTGCTGCGGGGGCTCCAAACCGCTGACGCGATCATGGCCCGCCATGCTCCCGGGCCGCTGCAGGGGCTCCCAACCGTTCGCGCGCCCAATGGCGTCCGTGCCGGCTCCAGCTGGGATGCAAGCCCGCTGCACGGGCTCCAAACCACTCGGGCGATCATGGCCTAGTGTGCAAGCTCCCGCCATGGTGCTCCCTGTGTGCTGCAAGGGCTCCGAATCGTTCGCGCACCCCAGGGCGTCAGTGCTGGCTCCAACCAGGCTGCTCCCTGGCCGCTGCAGGGGCTTCGCGCGCCCCATGGCGTCCATGCCAGCTCCAGCTGGGCTGCCAGCCCGCTGCAGGGGCTCCCAGCCGCTCGTTCGGTCATGGCCCAGTGTGCAAGATAATGCCATGATACCCCCTGGGCGCTGCAGGGACTCGCAGCCGTTCGCGCGCCCCAGGGCATTCGTGCTGGTTCCAGCCAGGCTACTCTGCTGCTGCAGGGCCCCCCAGCCGCTCATGCGATCATGGCCCGGTGTGCAAGCTCGCGCCATGCTGCCCTCTGGGCGCGGCAGGGGCTCCCAATCATTCGCGAGCCCCAGTGCGTCTGTGCGAGTTCCAGCTGGGCTGCTCTGTTGCTGCGGCGGCTCCCAGCCGCTCGCGCGGTCGTGGCCTTGTGTGCAAGCTCCCGCCATGCTGGTCCCTAGCCGCTGCAAGGGCTCCGTGCCGTTCGTGCGCTCCAGTGCATCCGTGCTAGCTCTGGCGCCGCAGCCAGGGCTGCTGGCCCGCAGCAAGGGCTCCCAGCCGCTCGAGCGCCCTGGGGAGTCCACGCCACCTCCAGCTGGGCTCCCTGGCCGCCACAAGGAGTGCTGGCCATTGGTGCGGTGCGGAGCTTCTTTGCTGGCCTCTGCCTGGCTTCCAGGCTGCCACTGCAGGCGACCTCGGCTGCTAGCGAAAGTAAGGGCATCCGTACCAGCTCCAGCCGAGCGCCCGGGAAGCGCTGGGTCGTCCGCGAGCGGGACGGCGGCGAAGGTCGCAATCGGCTCGCGTTCTGGCGCCAGCTCGCTCGCGTAGGCCAGTCCAGCGACGCGGGCTGGGGTGGTGTTCTGCAAATTCCCAGACTGGGCTGGGGTCGCCCCCCGTGCCGACGAGCCCGCGGTGGCAGTCGTGGCTCCCGCTGGCTGCCAATGAAACGCTGAAGTCGGCCAACCGAAAATCCGCCGGTGGCTCAGCAGGAGTCGGTAGCACTGCACCGAGGGGAGAAGACGCGTGGAAAACCACATAGAGCGGTTCCCGTTGACCCTTCTCCTCCTCCTCCTCCTCCTCCACCTCCTCCTCCCGCTCCACCTCCTCCCCCTCCTCCCCCTCCCCCTCCTCCTCCTCCTCCTCCTCCTCCTCCTCCTCCTCTCCTCCTCCTCCTCCCCTCCTCCTCCTCCTCCTCCTCCCGCTCCCCTCCCCCTCCTCCTCTTCCCCCTCTTCTACCTCCTCCCCCTCCTCCTCCTCCTCCTCCTCCTCCTCCTCCTCCTCCTCCTCCTCCTGCTCCTCCTTCTTCTCCTTCGCTGGCCCCCGACGCCCCCTCTGAGCCACCGCACGAATTTTCAGTTGGCCACTGAGGGCGTCGCGCCGCTGCCGTCTGGCTGGCGCGGCGCAGCTGGTGGCTGCAGCGCGCTGGGGCCGTCGGTGCCCGGGCCGCTCGCGGGCCATCCAGGGGAGCCCCAGGCCGCACAGGCGGCCGCCAGGATCGGCCCAGCTGCGCCCGCCAGACCTCGCCGGTTGGTTGGCACGGTGTGAGACTGACTGTGTTCGTGTTCCCTGGTCCGACGATGTGCTTTTTTTTAATGCGGGCGTTTTCTGGGATTTCGGCTTCCGGGGCCTGTTATCGGGCCTTGGGACCATCAACAAAGGATCCGGGTCGCAAAACTACCCCCAGGGAAGAGGTCGGGAGCTCGGGGGCCGCGGATTAGAACAATCATGTGGGATGATGTCTGGATTATGAAGCATTCAGTCCTGTCTGGATACGAGATTTGCCCTGCCGAGTCGATGGATGCGAGTCCCCGAGCCTGAAACGGGTCCTTGCGGTCTCACATCGCTCAGGAACATGCCCAACCCATCCGATACGTTTGGCACTGCCAGGGGACAAGGATCTATTGCGGAGTTCTACAGAGAGCTGTCACGCGGGACCCCCCGTGGGCACAGGAAAGCGGGCGACCGTTGCGCGCCTGGCAGCACCAAGGGGTGGCGACGTCTCATCTGGATCTGCGTGACACGCCAATTCGGCAGACCACCGCAGCCTGAAAGCTGGAAATACACATGGTTGGATTCAGATGTGGGACATCTGGGGGCCACGTGCTGAAAAAACATACGGAAACCTGGCGTGCACGGCCATGTAAGGGCCGAGCGCCGGAAAGGCATCTGGCCCAACGTGTATCCAGGGCTCGCGCAGGATGGCCACGTCATGTGTATCCAGCTTCCTGGTAGGGCGCATCAAAGTGGCGACGGTTGCGCGCCTGGCAGCGCCCAGGGAGGGCGAGGTCTCAGCTGGACCTGTGTCGGACCACACTCCACTGTACGCCCCATGAAGCGCAGAAAAGCGGCGACGCTTGCGCGCCTGGCAGTAATCAAAGAACCGAAATATCGTGCCGATCTGCGCAACACGGAACCGCAGCTGGATACAGCTGCGCGCATGGCGGCATGAGACAGCGACCAGGGGAGGGCGAGGTCTCATTTGGATCTGCGTGACACGCTACTCCGCTGAACCAAGGGCGCCCAACTTCGCGCTTTCGCGCCGCCCCCCAGGGGAGAAGAGGAAGATGAGGAGGAATCGGAGCCGAACCGCGAAGCGCGCAGCGTGAACAACTTCGGGCCCTCGAGGGCGCCCTTGCCACTCCGGTGGACCCTCCAGGGGCGCGGCAAAGTGGCGGCAGTGGCACGCCAAGCAGCACCGGGAGAGGCGAAGCTCCAGCCTGCGATACCGTAGCCCGCCACTCTGCTGGACCCCTCGGAGGGGCGTAGGAAGGTGGCGACAGCTGCGCCCAGCGAGGCCACGAGCGGCATCGATCGAATCGGCCCAGCAGGGGGCCAGAGCGCCTGCTCGGACCAGACGCGTCCTGGCGTTGAAAAGACGACGCCAGGACGAGGATAAAATCGGACGAGGACGAATCGAGAATCGCTGAGATCCGGCGGCTCCGGAGGATGTCTCGGGCGCCGCGGCCTTCCCAGAGCGTTCCGCAACGCTATGGGAGCGTTCTGGAACGCTCTGAACGGATTCATCCTCGTCCTAGACCCGTCCGAACTGACCTCTTCCACACGGGCCCGTTTCCGCTTCCTCTTTGGCGCGCTACCCCCTGCTGCGTCAGGTTCCGGAGGCTTCGTGAGGGGCTGGCTGAGGACTCCTCCAGTCGCGCCGCCATCGAATCTGTCGTCGACGTGAGAGCCCACGGAGACGCGCTAGGCGGACGCCTCTGCACTCTGTCATTTTCGCTTCCGCCACCTTCCGCCAAGTGTCGTCGAAGCCGACCTCGCCTTGCGTTCGCTGGCTTCCGTCCAGAGCGAGAGCTCCACACCTCGGTGCCACGGCGAGGTCCTCTCTTGAACTAGCCGCGCGAAGGGGTGGCGCTTTCCGCTTGTGGTGCGTAGAGGTCTCGAGACACAGCCGCCGCGCGGGGGGGGATCAGACCTCCAAGGCTCTGCGGTGGGCAATCTCCCTCCGTCTGACTCTGAGGCTGCGGCAACCTGGTATGATGACAATGCGGGGCCGGGGGGCCGGGGCGGGGGTGATACTGGAGAGCAGAAAAACCAGCCCACTGTAAACACCCCGACAAGCAAAGGCGTTTAGTACACTCACCCGAGGAAGGAATCGAACAGGGCAGTGCTGTTAGTAAACGCCAGGGCCCTCTAGTAAACGCCAATTCTGCGACGAGACTCCGCAAGCTGGATCTCGCACGGGCAGCATCCTGCAAGATGAGATCAAGCCCCGATCTGGCGTGTGTTTGCAAGAGAGGCTGGCATGTTCCCCATTCGCGCCCACTCGTTAGGATCACTCGCGCGATTCGATCGTGGCGGTGAAGCTGGTCGAGGCCACGGAGGTCAAGGAGCGGACGACCGCCGCCATCGAACAGGTGACCAAGACAAGCGACAGCAGCCAGGACGCCAAGGGCTCCGATGGCGATGCGGTGGAGGATGGTCAGCTCTTCAAGTTCTCCTGGGACGAGGCGATTTTCCAGGACTTGAGCGAGCTTGACCCTACGGAGCAGCAGCAGCAGCAGATACTTCCAGAGGTCCCTGCAGGAGCCGAAGGAGAGACTCGCAGGAGTTTCCAAGGAGGAGGTGGAGAAGCTGGGCGCCGCTCGGGCTTTCGCCGAGGCTCAGACCAAGGGCGCGCTCAAGAAGCGCAGGGCCGACGAGGGGCGCCATGCGCGCAAGGCGAGGACCGACGGGGGCGAGGGGGGGCACGGGCATTTAGGCGGAGGCGCGAGAGCTACGGCCTCAGGGGCCCCACTCGTGCAGCCTCCGCGGCCGACCTGGCCAGGGGCGCCAAGGCCGACATCGAGGCCGAGCAGGTCACGGTGGAGGAGGAGGAGCTCTCGCGCGCCAGGTTCGCAACCGCCCGTCTGGCGGCGTGGGTCAAGCTCTCGGCCGAACCGAAGTCGGGCGCCACTCCGCCCGCCTCCCCAGCCTGGCAGTGCAGCCGATGGGGCGGGAGCGACTTGACTCGCGGCTCCCCCCAACAGTGCCAATCCACGGCTGCAGGCAGGGGACAGCGGGGTCGGGTCGGCCAGCCGTACTCTGCGCAGGCCCTGCAGTCGATCTTTTCTCTTCGAGGAAGTCAATGGGGCGACGAACGTCTCGCTGGTGTGCGCCGTGCTTGCTTCTCGAACATTTATGCATCGGACCTCTGGCTTGGGGATGCAATGTGCTTTGCGGAGAGCCGCGTTCGCAAGGCGAAGGACTTGGCCAAGTGGCGACGAGATGCATCGGCCTTGGGATGGAGGATCCTTGTCGCACCCGCGCGAGCCCAGCCAGGATCGAGCGGCGCTGAAGGTGGCGAGTGGATCATGCGTCGACGGGGGAACCAGATCAATTCCGTCGCAGCGCTCAACCCGCCGCCGAAGTCGCTCAGGGCGGCTGGTTCGGCGGGACTCGACGGCTTTCACGTTGCTGTCCTCCATCAACGAGGGTGCAATGTCGTGCTTGTTACCTTTTACGGCTTCACAGGAGTCGGGGGGAGTGGGCCATTTTTTTTGTTGTCCAAGCTTTGCGTATGCCCGACTGAGGCGTGTGCTCGGGGAGCTGTCTCCCTTTCATCGTCGGCGCCCGCGCCGTCCGCGCCATCTCATGGAAGATGCATTGCGGTCTCCTGGCTGCGCTACGTGGCAAGGTCCGAGAAGCTCATCTCGCGCAAGCTCTGCTTGGCGGAGCTGCTTCCCCAGGCGGAGCGGCCGCAACAGGCGAAGGCGCGGACCAGTTGTGCCTTCTCGCGGGCGAGGGGGCCCGGGGGCCGTCCAAGGCTCCTGAGGAGCTCGGCTCCATGTCCCCCCCAAATCGGGCGTCGTGACAGACCAGTCTACCGACGAGGGTGATGACGACGGCCACGACAGTTGCGGGGATGCCTCGGACCTGAGCTCTAATGGCGTGTGGGACGACCTCAATTTCCCCGAAGGCGTCCAGGGCCTCGGCTATGACGGAAGGCTGCATGAGGCCAGTGGGATCCCGCTCCACACGCGCAGCCTCAGCACCTTCGCTGCGATCCCGCTGCTTGCGCGGCGGGCCGCCACTCTCGTCGACGCAATGCAAGTTTCGAGCCTCCACGTCGACGAGTCACGACCTCGTGAGTGTGTCAGTCTATGCCATGGGTCCGTATGGAATCGCGGATTGCCAATTCAGGGTGAGACTGCAGAGAGGACGACGCACACCACCACGAGTGAGGTGGACATCGGGACGGTTGTCGAAGCCAGGGTATGCACTGCCCAGCTTGACCATGCCCAGCCAGAGAGTACCAGCCCTGCACGCCAAGCGTCGTCAGGTGAAGCCCCGCTCCAAAGAGTGGCCGATGCCCTCACCACCTGCCCCGCATCAATTTGGCCCAACTTGAGCTCCGCCCCGCTCGCTGAGGTCGTCATGTCAGGCGGCCTGCTTCTTTCGGGCCAGGGGTCCGCGTGGGATCGCGGATTGCCAATTCAAGTTGGAGTGGCTACATGTGACGCCGACGAGGGGAAGGAGTTACCAGTGCATGTGGATCGGTGGCCTTGAGGTGGAGGCGACTTCCATGACTCCGCCGCGGACATCGACATGAAGGCTGACGCCAAGGTGTGCACTGCTCAGCTGGACCGTGCCAGCCACAGAGTACCAGCCCTGCGCACCCCGCAGCTTCCGATGAAGCCCCGCTCCAGGGGGCGGCCGGCGCCCTCGCCACCCGCCCCGCCTCCAGCTGGCCCAGCTCGAGCACCGCACCGCTCATTTTCTTTAGGTCCTTTTGCCTCAGGCCAGGGGTTCGCGCGGAATCGCGGACTGCCAGCTCAAGATGGAGTGGCCGCATGGGGCGCCGACCCAGGGTACGACAGGCAGGAGCTACCAGTAGCGCACGTGGATAGGGGGCCTCGAGGTGGCAGCGACTTCGACGACTCCGAAGCGGACATCACCGCATGCGCTGCTTAGCTGGACCATGCCCAGCCAGAGAGTGCCCGCCCTGCACGCCCAGCAGCTCCAGGGGAGGTCCCACTCCGGCGGGCGGCCGATGCCTTGCCGCCTGCCCCAACTTCAGCTGGC